TAGAAAGATTCCTAATAGCAAATTAATATCTTGTACGCTTTTTCAATCTCGCCGGTTTATTTAGCAATAGAAAAATAGAAAATAAGAATTATTGGGGCGTATATATTCTATATATATCGGCAATTTTAGTATTTTAGTATAATTTAGTATAGATGACTATAGAGGATAAGGTTCCGTTGGAACAAGTTTTTAATTCAATTCAAAATTCCTCGTTAATTTTTTTCTTCAACAGAATCTAAAATGGGGGGATCTATTTAAATGACAAAAAGATATTGGAACATCAATTTAGAAGAAATGATGCAGGCTGGAGTTCATTTGGGTCATGGTACTAGGAAATGGAATCCTAAAATGGCACCTTTTATTTTTACAAAGCGTAAAGATATTCATATTATAAATCTGATCGTAACTGCTCGTTTTTTATCGGAAGCTTGTGATTTGGTTTTTGATGCAGCAAATAGAGGAAAAAATTTTTTAATTGTGGGTACTAACAATAAAGCAGCTAATTTAGTAGCCCGAGCTTCCATAAAGGCCCGATGTCATTATGTTAATAAAAAATGGCTTGCCGGTATGTTAACGAATTGGTCCACCACAGAAACAAGACTTCAGAAGTTTAGGGACTTGAGAATGGAACAAAAAAAAGGGGGGTTCCATCATCTTCCAAAAAGAGATGCAACTGTGCTCAAAAGACAATTAGCTCGTTTCCAAAAATATCTGGGTGGAATTCAATATATGACAGGCTTACCCGATATTGTAATCATTATTGATCAGCACAAAGAATATATAGCCTTGCGAGAATGTATAACTTTAGGAATTCCAACAATTTGTTTAATCGATACTAATTGCGACCCCAATCTATCAGACATTTCAATTCCAGCAAATGATGACGCTATCTCTTCAATTCGATTGATTCTTAACAAATTAATATTTGCAATTTGTGAGGGCCGTTTTAGCTATATAAAAAATTCTTGATAAAGAAATTAAAAAATAACTAATAAAAAACTTACTTCAAAAATAACATAGATTCCTTTCATAAGTTAGATTTTTTGATTTGTTTCTATTATTCTATTAAAAAGGACAAGATCCAATTCAATTAGACAAATAGATTTTGGCATTAAAATAATTAAGGGGGTAATATGAATCTTTTTTTTTTTTTCTAGCAATTACCCCATGGGGTTATACGAGATATCTGGTGTAGAAGTGGGTCAACATTTATATTGGCAAATAGGGAATTTCCCAAGTACACGGCCAAGTACTTATCACTTCTTGGGTTGTAATTGGTATCTTAGTTGGTTCTGCTACTCTAGCTGTTCGCAACCCACAAATCATTCCTAATGGGGGTCAGAATTTATTTGAATATGTTCTTGAATTCATTCGAGATGTGAGTAAAACTCAAATTGGAGAAGAGTATGGCCCTTGGGTTCCTTTTATTGGTACGATGTTTTTATTTATTTTTGTTTCTAATTGGTCCGGGGCTCTTTTACCTTGGAAACTACTTAGATTACCTCATGGGGAGTTAGCCGCACCCACGAATGATATAAATACTACTGTGGCTTTGGCTTTAATTACGTCAGCGGCATACTTCTATGCGGGTATTTCAAAAAAAGGATTAGGTTATTTCGCTAAATATATAAAACCGACTCCGATCCTTTTACCGATTAACATCTTAGAAGATTTTACAAAGCCTTTATCACTTAGTTTTAGGCTTTTCGGTAATATTTTAGCTGATGAATTAGTAGTTGTTGTTCTTGTTTCTTTAGTCCCTTCAGCAATTCCGATACCCGTCATGCTTCTTGGATTATTTACAAGTGGTATTCAAGCTCTTATTTTTGCAACCCTAGCCGCGGCGTATATAGGTGAATCCATAGGGGATCATCATTAATATTAATTACTTTGAAAATGGATAAAATGAACTAATGGCTAATGAGGGCCTAATTGATTCATTATATCATTAACGATTTCTTTTTTTGTTACGTTTTGTTACGAGGAATTACTAATGAATCCACTTATTTCTGCCGCTTCCGTTATTGCTGCTGGCTTGGCCGTAGGACTTGCTTCTATTGGACCCGGAATTGGTCAAGGGACCGCCGCGGGTCAAGCTGTAGAGGGGATCGCGAGACAGCCTGAGGCGGAGGGAAAAATCCGGGGCACTCTATTGCTTAGTCTAGCTTTTATGGAAGCTTTAACAATTTATGGATTGGTTGTTGCATTAGCACTTTTATTTGCGAATCCTTTTGTTTAATTTAGAATGGTAAGACTAATAAAGAGACTCTTGAGGCTTTTTTTTTTTTCAAATTCTATTAAAAATGCCTCTTGGTATTACTTTATTGGTTGAGAAAAAAACCTTATGATACACACGAAATAATAATACTTATTCTATTTTAATTGCTTTCATCCTTTTCACTCGTAGTTTACTCGTAGTTTAAGGTTACTTTTTTTAGTGAGGCTTAGTAGATCCGCAAAATACACTAAAATAGAATGTGTATTTAATCTTATTTAATATTTAATTAAGAAGTTCTAAAGATTTATTTATTATTTATTTCATAAATTGAATAAAATAGAAATAAAAAACAAAGTGAAGTAAAGAGTGTTGTTTTATTTTAGTCTATACTATAAAAGAGGAGAATTTATGAAAAGCGTAACCGATTCTTTCCTTTCTTTGGGCCACTGGTCATCTGTTGGGAGTTTCGGGTGGAATACCGATATTTTAGCAACAAATCTAATAAATCTAAGTGTAGTTCTTGGAGTATTGGTCTTTTTTGGAAAGGGAGTGTGTGCGAGTTGTTTATTTCAGGAATAGGCTGGACTAACCAGCTGTACTCTTACTCTTTATTTTTATGAAAACTCGGAGAAAGAGGTGCATTATCTCGCGAATTACTTCTGAATAAATAAATTCTCTGTAAGAACCATAGCATTTCGTCATTTACTGGTAAATCAACTTTGATTCTCTCTCACCCAAGACTATGATACTATGAACATGGTTAAAAAAATCATTTGAAGTCAAGGCACTATATGGTACTCTTTCTATCACTATGTTCATTATAGAGATATTTTCAAAAATAATATTTGATCAATAGAGGATGCTCATATTGATTAAACTAAAGGAACCCCTTAATCTTTATTTTTTAATTTTTCACAAAGAAGGGAAATTTCCCCTGTTTATCCAAATCCAATGCTAAATTGACGGCCTGTGTTTATAAATAAGTAATAAAATCTTTTGAAAAAAAAAATAACTTTGCTGACAATTACCGATTTTTTGGTTGTTTTGTTAGAAGAGTCCTCATCTGTTTGGAATATTAACAAAGATAAAGAAGAAGGAAGAGAGGATAAGCTCAATGGAGTAATAAAGAACCAAAAAAACATATCATAATTCTTATGAAGTTTGATTTGAAGGAATTGAGCTTGAGAGCCAAATGAATTGAAAGATTCATGTTTGGTTCGGGAAGGGGTTTTTCTGTTTTGAAATCAAAGCAAAAAAAAATCTACTTTCATTAAGTGATTTATTAGATAACCGAAAAAATAGGATCTTAAATACTATTCAGAATTCAGAAGAACTGCGTGGGAGGTCTATTGAAAAACTAGAAAAAGCCCAAGCTCATTTATCTAAAGTAGAAAGGCAAGCCGAGGAGTTTCGACTGAATGGATACTCTGAAATAAAACGAGAAAATTTGAATTTGCTTAATTCAACTTCTAATATTTTAGAACAATTTGAAAATGATAAAAATGAAACTATTCTATTTGAACAGGAAAGAGCTATTCATCAAGTAAAAACAACAGGTTTTCCAACAAGCCTTACAAAGAGCTCTAGAAACTCTGACTTGTTGTTTGAACACCGAGTTGCATTTACGTACTATTAGTACCAATATCCGCATGTTGAGCACACTTCAAGAAATAAAAGATTAGTCTTTAATTTTCTAGCGGAGGTATTATTTTTTTTTATAAGAATAATTTAAGAACGAATCATGGGAACGATCCAAGCCGATGAAATTAGGAATATTATTCGTGAGCGTATTGAAAAATATAATAGAGAGATAAAGATTGTCAATACTGGTACCGTCCTTCAAGTAGGCGATGGCATTATTCGTATTCATGGTCTTGGTGAAGTAATGGCAGGGGAATTAGTAGAATTTGAAGAGGGTACAATTGGCATTGCTCTCAATTTGGAATCCACCAATGTTGGTGTTGTATTAATGGGTGACGGATTGATGATACAAGAAGGAAGTTCTGTAAAATCAACAGGAAGAATTGCTCAGATACCAGTGGGTGAAGCCTATTTGGGTCGTGTTATAAATGCCCTGTCAAATCCTATTGATGGGAGGGGCGAAATTTCATCTTCTGGATTTAGATTAATTGAATCCCCCGCTCCAGGGATTATTTCGCGTCGTTCCATATATGAGCCTCTTCAAACTGGACTCATTGCTATCGATTCAATGATCCCTATAGGCCGTGGTCAGCGAGAATTAATTATTGGAGACAGACAAACTGGTAAAACAGCAGTAGCTACGGATACGATTCTAAATCAACAGGGTCAAAATGTAATATGTGTTTATGTAGCTATTGGTCAAAAAGCATCTTCTGTGGCTCAGGTAGTAACTACCTTACAAGAAAAGGGAGCCATGGAATATACTATTGTGGTAGCCGAAATGGCGGATTCCCCTGCTACACTTCAATACCTCGCTCCTTATACAGGAGCAGCTATAGCTGAATATTTTATGTATCGTGAAAAACACACTTTAATCATTTATGATGATCTCTCCAAACAAGCCCAAGCTTATCGCCAAATGTCTCTTCTATTACGTAGACCACCTGGTCGCGAAGCTTACCCAGGAGATGTCTTTTATTTGCACTCACGTCTTTTAGAAAGAGCCGCTAAATTAAGTTCTAAGTTAGGGGAGGGCAGTATGACTGCTTTACCTATAGTAGAAACGCAATCGGGAGATGTTTCTGCTTATATCCCTACTAATGTAATTTCTATTACTGATGGACAAATATTCTTATCCGCCGATCTATTTAATGCTGGAATAAGACCTGCTATTAATGTGGGTATCTCTGTTTCCCGAGTGGGGTCTGCAGCTCAAATTAAAGCCATGAAAAAGGTAGCTGGTAAATTAAAATTAGAACTCGCCCAATTCGCTGAATTAGAAGCCTTTGCCCAATTTGCTTCTGATCTTGATCGAGCTAGTCAAAATCAATTAGCAAGAGGTCAACGATTGCGCGAATTGCTTAAACAATCCCAATCCGCTCCTCTGACGGCGGCAGAGCAAATTATTACTATTTATGCTGGAATAAATGGGTATCTTGATTCATTAGAACTTGGACAGATCAGCAAATTTCTTATTGAGTTATATACTTACTTCAAAACTAATAAACCTCAGTTCCAAGAAATCATATCGTCTACCAATACATTTACCGATGAAGCAGAAGCCCTTTTGAAAAAAGCTATTCCGGACCAAAAGGATCGGTTTCTACTTCAAGAAAAACTTTAAATAAGTACTTCAATCAAAAAAATTCAAACACAATAGAAAGATATGGAAAAATTGCGCCCAATAGGATTTGAACCTATACCAAAGGTTTAGAAGACCTATGTCCTATCCATTAGACAATGGACGCTTTGGTGCTTCTTTTTTGCGTCTTACCCCTCAAAATTATTTGTAACAATAAATAATTAGATCGGATTCTAGGTGATCTTTTTTTATTGTCTATTCCTATTCCCCTTTAAAAATATTCTCATTAATGAGCATCTCCAAATAAATCTTTCAAATAATAATCAAATAATAATTTTTTTATTCCATTTTTATTCAATATGAAATTCAAAATGATTTTCTACTTCCTTAGAAAACAACGCCCGGTTGAGTAAGGACCGGGCCGTGCGAACAAGAATAGCCTTTTCAACATTTAAATAATTGAGTAAAAAATCAAAACAAAACATCTTATAACTCTTAATTTAGATTTTTATAAAATAATATAATAAAAATATTTAAATAATAGATTGAAAAGCATAATCAAAATAAAAAAAATTACTTAGTTCTATGTTTATTATAAAATAAGAATTCTCTAAATAAAATTTGGAGAGATGGCTGAGTGGACGAAAGCGTCGGATTGCTAATCCGGTGTACGAGTTTTTCGTACCGAGGGTTCGAATCCCTCTCTTTCCATTTTTGTGGATCGTATTATTTCTTTTTTTTTTTTTTTTTTATTTGCAAATTCGTTTTATTTTATTCTTCACGTCCAGGATTACGCCTTGGATCATTAGATAGGAACCCAAAGATAAATAGAGAAACAAAAAAGATGACTACTGTGTATACGAAGAGTTTGAGAGTAAGCATTACAAACCTCCAATATTTTTTATTGAAAAAAAAATAAATAGAATATATTTTCTATTTTGAGACCACATAGGTACTATAAGGTACCAAGAAAGAAAGTTGAAATAGAGTTAATTTTCTAAAGAAAAAAATTTCATAAATCAAATTGAAATAAGAGTTTACCAAATTAAATATGGGGAATGGTCCTAATCCTAGTAGAGTCTTTTACTATAAAAAAAAGCTTTAAAAAGCAAGGAAGTTCTTATTCTTATTTTACTCAATTTGTTTAATTAAGTATTTCATCGAAAACTAACAACAGCCTGCCAAACAAAAGCTAAAAGAAAAAAAAGAACAGGTATTATTGGCATAAAATCGACGATTGGATTCAAAAAAGCATAAGATTCGGGCAATTTGCCGAATAAAAAACTACTTGAATAGAAGACAGAATTAAGACAGATAAAACTAAGCATAAAAGACATGTTTTTTTTGATAATGAATTATTAAGATATGATTTTTATAAAATTAATATAAAAACATTATATTGAATTCGTAGGGCGGGCGCAAAATATTGATTCCTCTTTTTAATTGAACCCTTCACAATGACTAGAAATATTTCAATATTTATAATACACTATAATAGAATATAGACAATATAATAATATACAAAAGAAATAAATTAACACATAAAAAAAACCAGAACCATAGAATCAAATTGATATCCATTTTAAATTCAATAGACAAAAATAAAATGGTTATTTAATTTTTGAAGTGTTGAAGTGGGGCGTGGCCAAGTGGTAAGGCAACGGGTTTTGGTCCCGGAATTCGGAGGTTCGAATCCTTCCGTCCCAAATCTTTTTGATCTTATTATTTCTATCGAATAGAAATAGTCTATTGAGATAGAAATAATAGAGAGAAAATAATCTATCTACCTAAATAAAATATATAGAAAACCTAAAAGGATAGTATGTTTAGAGACAACTCAAACCAATACTAGAACCTATGACTATTAAAGATTCCCTGATTTAATCAAGTACATATTGGTTCCAAATTCTAAGAAAGAATATTATGGTCCAACGTGGTTTGCAACGATGTGGTATAAATCAACATGTCACTTTAAAGATGAAAACCAAGATCCGTTATCTTGTTACATCCACCATTTTTTTTTTATAAATAAAATAATAGGTTATTGGCTTTATAGCAGTGAATTTGTTCCATATGATCTAAATAATGCTATTTTGTAATAGAAAGAGATTTTGATGTATATAGTTTATATAGTTATAGTTATGGTTTTTTTTGTATAAAAAAAGGAGGAACTTAAAATAGATTTACAACTAGAGAGATCGAAAGAACAGAATTTCCTTTATCCACTTTTATTTCAGGAGTATATTTATGTCCTTGTTCATGATCGTGCTTTAAGTGGTTTAAAAGGGTCAATTTCTGCTGAAAATATAGTATATAAAAAAAAATTTAGTTTTCAAATTGTGAAACGCTTAATTACTCAAATGTATCAACAGATACAGCTCACTAATTGTTATTATAAAAAAAGTCAAATTTTTAGAACCAGCAAGTTGTTCTATTGTAACCAGTTAGCTGAGGTTTTTGCTTTTATTTTGGAAATTCCGTCTTATTTAAGATTCATATCAGAGCGCAAAAAAAAAAAACTCTTAAAATCTAATAATTTACGTTTACGGTCAATTCATTCCATATTTCCATTTTTTGAAGACAATTTATCACATTTAAATTTGGTATTAGATCTACTAATTCCCTCCCCCCCCTCATCTGGAAATCGTGGTTCAAATAATTCGGTATTGGGTCAAAGAGGCTTCTTCTTTACATTTATTACGCTTCTTTCTATATGAGTTTTACAATTTTCAAAATTTGAATACTCCCAATAGGTCCCATTACATTTTGACAAAAAGACCTGAGCGGCTTTTCTTCTTTTTATATAACTCTTATTTATATGAATATGAATCCGTTTTTGTCTTTCTCCGCAACCAGTCTCTTCATTTAAAAGCAATCAGTTTTCGAGCACTTTTGGAAAGGAATCTTTTCTATGGAAAAATCGAATGCCTTTTAGAAGTATTTAATGAGGATTTTTCTGCAAGTATCCGTTTGTTAAAGGCTCCGGATCTTTCAATGCATTATGGTAGGTATAGGGGAAAGTCAATTATGGCATCAAAAGAAACGTTTCTTTTGATATCAAAATGGAACTATTATATTGTAAAATTTTGGGAATCTTATTTTTCTCTTTGGTTCCATACTGGAAGAATAAATAGAAATCAATTATCCATCCATTCTTTTTCATTTATGGATTATCTTTCAAGTATTGTAGTAATCCCTTCAATAATACGAAGTCAAATGTTAAAGAATTCATTTTTAATAAAAAATGCTATTCATCAATTTGATACTGTTGTTCCAATTATTCCTATCCTTAGATCCCTAGCTAAAGCTAAATTTTGTAATGTACTTGGGAATCCCATTAGTAAACCGGGTTGGACCGACTTCTCAGATTCTGAGATTATTAAAAGGTTTGGGCGGATATGTCGAAATTTTATTCATTATTATAGTGGTTCTTCCAAAAAAACCAGTTTGTATCAAATAAAGTATATACTTAGGCTTTCTTGTGCTCGAACTCTAGCTCGGAAACACAAAAGTACTGTACGCGATTTTTTAAAAAGCTTGGGCTCGGAATTTTTAGAAGAATTTTTTACATCGGAAGAACAAATTTTTAATTTCACGTTTTCAAAGGCTTCTTCAAATTTGAGGCGAGTTTATAAAAGGCGGATTTGGTATTTTGATATTGTTTGTATCGAAGAGCATATTAATTTTTAAAAATTCATGCATCTTGTCAAATTCAAATTTTTACCAAATTATAAAATTATTAATAGAGGCAAAAAGTTTTATTTTTCCATTTGATCGTAAATCTTTCTTAAAAAGTCTAATTAAAGGGTAAGCTTAGTTTTAACTTTTTTAAAATTGACTACAGATAATTTATATATAATTTATATATATATATAGGAACGCTTATTCACAAAAATATTAAAAAAAAAATATATTCTTTACTCGAACTAACAAGTTCCAGATTGTAATTATGAGTACCAAATCGTCATACTTAAATTAAATGGAGAAAATTTGCTTGACTTAAAAAAAGGGGGCGGAATCAAATTAGATAGCTCTATTGGTTGACACGAATATCTAAGTCGTGTTATACTGTTGAATAACAAGCCTTTAATTTATTCTATTTTTTTTTATTTCGTGTGCTTGGGAGTCCCTGATTATAAAATCAACCAAGAATTGATCATGACTGCAGTTTTAGAGAGACGCGAAACCCAAAGCTTATGGGGTCGTTTCTGTAATTGGATAACTAGCACTGAAAATCGTCTTTACATTGGATGGTTTGGTGTTTTGATGATCCCGACTTTATTGACCGCAACTTCTGTATTTATTATTGCCTTCATTGCTGCTCCACCAGTAGATATTGATGGTATTCGTGAACCTGTTTCTGGATCTCTGCTTTACGGAAACAATATTATTTCAGGTGCCATTATTCCAACTTCTGCAGCTATAGGATTACATTTTTACCCAATATGGGAAGCGGCATCCATTGATGAATGGTTATATAATGGGGGTCCTTATGAACTAATTGTTCTACACTTCTTACTTGGTGTAGCTTCTTATATGGGGCGTGAGTGGGAACTTAGTTTTCGTCTGGGTATGCGCCCTTGGATTGCGGTTGCATACTCCGCTCCGGTTGCAGCTGCTACCGCAGTTTTCTTAATCTATCCAATTGGTCAGGGAAGTTTTTCTGATGGTATGCCCCTAGGAATCTCTGGGACTTTCAATTTCATGATTGTATTTCAGGCTGAGCACAATATTCTTATGCACCCATTTCATATGTTAGGCGTAGCTGGTGTATTTGGCGGTTCCCTATTCAGTGCTATGCATGGTTCCTTGGTAACTTCTAGTTTGATCAGGGAAACCACAGAAAATGAATCGGCTAATGAAGGTTACCGATTCGGCCAAGAGGAAGAAACGTATAATATAGTAGCCGCTCATGGTTATTTTGGACGATTAATTTTCCAATATGCTAGTTTCAATAATTCTCGTTCATTACACTTCTTTTTAGCTGCTTGGCCTGTAGTAGGTATTTGGTTCACTGCTTTAGGTATCAGCACTATGGCATTCAATCTAAATGGTTTCAATTTTAATCAATCCGTAGTTGATAGCCAGGGCCGGGTAATTAATACTTGGGCTGATATAATTAATCGTGCTAACCTTGGTATGGAAGTTATGCATGAACGTAATGCTCACAATTTCCCTCTAGACCTAGCTGCTATCCAAGTTATAGCTACAAATGGCTAGAGACTTCGTCTCTTAGTATATAGATAGAGAATCTATTTAAAATAGAATAAAGGAGCAATTCCGCCTTCTTGTCTAGAACAAGAAATCGGTTATTGCTCCTTTATTGATTCCTTTTTGAAAATAACATAGTTTAGTCGGGGGCGGATGTAGCCAAGTGGATTAAGGCGGTGGATTGTGAATCCACTATGCGCGGGTTCAATTCCCGTCGTTCGCCCATCACTCGAATTATCGTTTCGATAAATTCTATAAATGGGTGAAATATATGAGTGAAAGTAAATAACATGCCGCTATGGTGAAATTGGTAGACACGCTGCTCTTAGGAAGCAGTGCTAGCGCATCTCGGTTCGAGTCCGAGTAGCGGCATAAAAAATAAGAGTAATCTTTTGTTCTTTTTCATTTTTTTCTTATCTAATTCGGAGTTAAAATCTTATTTTTTTTTTATTTTTATGATAGTTTCAACCTTAGAACATATACTAACTAATATTTCACTTTCAATAATACTCGTTTCTATTTTAATTATAAAATTTATTTGAAAATCTTTTTTGTAGATGAAAACATAAAACTTTCTAATTCATCAGAAAAGTGCATTTTCATAACTTTTTTATGTATAACAGGATTATTAGCTACTCATTGGATTTCGTCGGGCCATTTCCCACTAAGTGATTTATCGGAATCTTTGCTTTTTCTTTCCTGGAGTTTTGCTCTTATTAATAGCCTTTCCTATTTAAAAAAAAATACAAAATTATTAAGTACAATAATAAGCCCAATCAATTTTTGTATCCAGGCTTTTGCTACTTCGGGTCTTTTCACAGAAATTAAAAAATCTTCAATATTAGTCCCCGCTCTTCAATCTGAGTGGTTAATAATGCACGTAAGTATGATGATAGTGGGTTACGCAGCTCTTATATGTGGCTCCTTATTATCAGTAGCACTTATGGTCATTACCTTTAGAAAAAATGAAAATATTTTTAAAATGAATTATATTTTTTCGGCTAAAAATTTTTATAAGATTCAATTAAGTAAAGAATTGGATTATTGGAGTTATCGAGTTATTAGTTTAGGGTTTATCTTTTTAACCATAGGAATACTTTCGGGGGCTTTGTGGGCGAACCAAGCGTGGGGATCTTATTGGAGTTGGGATCCTAAAGAGACTTGGGCTTTTATTACTTGGATAGTGTTTTCAATTTATCTACATACTCGAAGAAATAGAACTTTCGAAGGTGCTACTTCGGCAATTGTGGCATCTATAGGTTTTCTTCTTATTTGGATATGTTATTTTGGAGTCAATTTAATTGGATTAGGTCTACATACTTATGGTTCATTTTCGCGAACATAAAAAAAGACATTAATTTTTTACTTCGTGAAAAGCTAAAAATTTGTGAAACCCGTGCTCTCAAATAAAAATATTTCCTATTTGAGAGCACGGGTGTTCAATAAAAATAGAATGAATTCAAATATACTTTTCTGGACCAGATCAATAAGCGAGACCCATACTGCGAGTTGTTTCATGCCATAAATAAACTCGAACACTCAAGAAATCTGTTGGGCAGGCGGATTCACATCTTTTACAGCCTACACAGTCTTCTGTTCTCGGAGCAGAAGCAATTTGTTTAGCCTTACATCCGTCCCATGGTATCATTTCTAAAACATCGGTGGGGCAGGCTCGGACACATTGAGTACATCCTATACATGTATCATAAATCTTTACAGAATGTGCCATTGGACGAATAAATTTATAAACTTTATGAATTATCGATATAGTATCCTCCAAATATTATTTTTATCCAATATAAAATTATAAGATACTTGGTTTTTAGATACTATATGACTCAATGAATTCTCAGAAGGATTCTAATCAATAGATTTCTGGATTGGTTTTGAAAATAAAAAAAAATTATTTTATGTTTTAATATTATCATTTTTTTATAACTACGCAAACTACCTACAAACTACCTAATAGGGTAAATAAGGATTCTTTTTTTAATTAACTCAATCTATTGTTTTAAAGTTTTAAATAAATACTCCCTTCAAATTTATACAGTAAGAATCAATAGACAAAAGGACATGATGTCTTTCTATTCACTACCCCAAGCTATTCTTTTTTAATTGTTTCAGT